ATGGCACTTACGACGACGAACCGGAGTGAATGACTCCAGCTAGAGGTAGAATACACTAAAATTATTGACAACAGATTCATTAAACCCTCGATTAGTGACAGTTCAAAAGATCCTAGCCGACATAAAATGAGACGATATCACGCACATCCTTCGAGGGAAAATTTAAGGGTTCAATTCAAGCCCCAAAGAACATTACACATTACTACAAATTTGAAAAAAATTAGCACATGAGTTTTGAGGTAATTTTATTCATTTTTAAAAAGCAACGGAATTTTGACATAAAATGCTGGGTTTTTTTTGTTTCTCTTTTTTGCCAAATTTTCATTCAAACTACAAAAGAACATCTTTCACTTTTACGATGAAACCGATATCTTAGCAGTTTTTCCTTATGCGCTGAGGGAAGTTCTGTCCAGGATGCAGGTCTGTAAGCTCCAGTTTGAAGGAAAAGATGACGCGCTGTTTGTTTTCTTGTGGGTGGGGATATAGGCAATTTTGTGCATGGGTGAGATAGAGATAGTAGTCCCTGATTGAAAAATGTGGTCCAGATTAATCACATTTCGCAGTTAGGGACTACTATTTTTGGCCCATTTTAGAAACCACATATGTGCCATTAGTTTCCCTAGTCATAGGTTTACGTAATTTTGGGGATGAGTCAGATTTTGTAGTTCTCAATTGAAAAATCTGGCTCAAGTGATCCATCATGTAATTTTATGGCACTTCCTTAAATGTGGCAGCGTTGTTAGGACAAAGTCAGTGTCGCCGTTGTATCTTCTTCAAAAGTTTACGTAGGCACATTGGATCTAAGAATAAATGAAGCATATAGGATCAAAAAGAGCACAAGTCCACTTTTTGAGAAGACTGAGATAACCATTACATGATACTTTTTAGCCGCATCCAGCAGATCAAAGAGGAAGTGGCACGATTTAAATTTTAGGAACTAGAGGGGGTATCCAGATTGTCAGGTAAAAAAAAAGACTCCTGTGACCGTCCAGAAAATATGATTCTTACACGTATATCCAGGTGTGGGGCCTTTAAATCCATCAGACTCGATGGCGTATCTTATTCATGGAGCTAGATTTGCTATTTCTGGTCGAATCAGGAATGCCTCCCACATACTCTCTCGATCAGAAACCTCGTGATAGCAACCTGTCAGTCAAACAACGCGGAAAAACAGCGGTATTGGATAGAACGTTGAATTCAAATCCACTCGATGAATTCAAACCATGTTAAAGTATTAATGTCTGGACGTCATAAAACACGCAGAGATCCGCAAATTCTGTCAGGTATTTGCTTTATGGGTGGTAATTGGTTTTTTTGTGACGTTTATTATTAGAATGACCGCAGGGCGAGAATGCTCAAACTAAAATAGAAAGAAATATTTCTATTTCGGTCTACTCAAATGAATTAACGGGTTTAAAAGGGATAAAAGTTCGCTTCCAATGGCCGAATTAATCATCGTTGAATACGTAAAATTTCTGGGAAAATGGAAAACTTGAATTAACAATCCTGTTAACAATCGTTATTTTTTAAGTTGAATCGTTATTAGTTAGTCACTTTTGTTTATAGACATTTAGCTGCCATAAGACTTTTAATATCTTCCCAGATTTCTATTTATTAATTCAAGATTACAAAACATTTAAACTTCTAACTTAATTCAAAAATTTACAATTTTGATTCTTATTCATATTTACGTTGCCAATTATACTTACAATTCAGGCACTTTCAAACTCCTCTTTTGAAACCCACCCCCACATTCATGAACAAGAACCAATCTTTTCGTACGCGACAGTTTACGTACTTTATATTGTATTTTTATAATTATTTTTCATTTTTTTGAAAGAGCCTGAAACATTTTCTATGAAGCCAAAACTCTTATCATAAACTGAGCTGCAGTCGTTTCGGGCAAAAACCTTTCTCCGAAAATGTGAAACCATACACTGAACATTCTGAAGCTTTGTGTCGTTTTTCTTGGAACGAGCCGATATTTTGTCTCTTCTTCGACCAAAAATCTAATATTTTTCGGAAGATTTTTGAGTTCAAACTCTTCTTTGAAAATAATCGAGGGTGCTTTTTCTGTGTGCTGCGATTGCGGAATAAAACCGAGCATAACCCCTCTTATTTGATGACCGGTTCAAAGGATGATACGTCTGTAAGTTGAGAAACACGGCGGACAATGATTGAAACCTTCTCTGAAGGATATTTTGAAAGACGCAAGACTATCCTTACGTGCGAATATCAAGCGAACATACTTCTTCACCAATGGAAAATTTCGAGTGCAGCTTCGTTTAAGTAAGATTTACGAGTTTTTGAGACAAAATAAATAGCAATTGCGCATTAGTTATAAACAAACAACTAACGAGTATGCAATACAATGATGCGGTAGCAGGAAAATTGCCGTGGCGTGTCCAATCCATCTATATGAGGCTGAAAAACATGCTTTTTGTAACATTTGCAAATAAAATACCAACGTTAAAATACTTTAGATTTAATTGATTTCAATTTCCATCACGTAGAAATTCCACGATCAAAAATTTGGAAGGCAAGAGTGTCCTCCGATTTAGATTCAAATTTCTGCAATATCTTTTCGGTGGATTTATTCTGCCATGTGGGAACTTGCATTTCATCGAAACTTAAACATACAAAAACCAAACATATTCACTGGTACCCCTCATGACTTCTTACCTACGATACGACAGCCAAATATACAACAGTAAAAATTAAAAAATGAAGCAATTGCATCCATCTTGAATTGATTTTTATAAGGCCGTATCATTGATATGCAGGAGGACTTTCAACTTAAAAATCTAAACGATGATAGTGACAAATCCATAAAATTAACGTACATTGTTTGATATTTCAATGACTAAGGACACAAACGAGGTTTTCGCAGCAAATATAATCGAGAAAGTATGTATGAACTAAAAAGAAGAATCATAGAAGCTCCATTGTCACTAGTTTAATTGTCAATCCCGGAGGAAAAGTGTAGTTGCGTATATTTAGATGTCATATGCCACTCTAACGGTTCATTCTACTGAATCGTGAGTAAATTTTTTTTTTTCAATATCATTGTTTATTCTCGCCTCCCATTTAGTGCCATTCCACATTTAATTCGTGTAAAAAATTCTAATCTTCCATTACGAAGAAACCGTGATTGTTTTTTCCACGAGCCGTGCCTTAAATGTCCCCCTCTAAAACTTATCGTTCATATTAAGAGAGTTTTCAGAGGGATTAGTCCCGCAGCACGCGAGTCCACATATTATTTCCACGACAAGTTCCGAAAAGCTTTTTCTGTAACATGCTGAATTTTGCATTTTTCAAAAGGTCAAGGGTAAACTAAAGTTTCACGCTTGTGCCCAAAGTTGCACGAAAGGGAAAACACCGGAATTAAGAATGTTACATAAATGCTAGGATGCGTTTTTTTCTTCCGAGCGTGACTGTAAGTGACAGCCTCCCTGAAATTTATACATTCACAAAGCGATGAACTAATCTACCTCTGTTTTTAGATTATTTGATCCGATCTCAATGTGTCTTAAAATACTTATAAATTTCAAATCTGTCGAAAGATTTAGACAAATTATTTCCGCTTCAATATGGTAATGTGCGGGATTTTTCTTTAAAGTATACGCTCAACCGCACAGAGTAAATGATTACATGCGTGGTTCACACGGCTACAAATTCAAGGGCATGCAGATCATGTTGAGGTGTAAAGTTTTTAATACTTTTTAGTGGCATAATTCAAATCTTAGGCAACTTCAAAAAGTTGTATGTAGCTATGCTACATTTGTCAACTTACACAAAAACTATATAGTTTCATTTTTTTTTTCCAATGACAGATGAAGTTGAGATAATTATGCCGGTGCTATTGATATTAGTTTCAGTTTGTACACTCAATGACTTGCCAGATTATAATAGAAGAATGGGTAAATGTACCTTAAGGTGAAAAGAATTGAAATAAAAACGTATATCGCGGCTTGTAGGGGTTAATTTTACCCTCTTTTGCGAAAAACACATCATGTAAGGGACATATCCATAGCCAAAGTGCGCAACTGCGTATCTTTATCACAGTGTTTCAAAATTTTCGGTTCTATTTTATGTGTTTCAAGTCAACTTAATTGGTTTGAAAATTAAGCAGAATATCCTGCCTTCAGAGAAGAAAAATTGAGAAAGTTTCCAAATGATTACGGTGACTACTTTTTCAAAGTAAAAATGAAGTGTGACAAGTAGTCTGCGACGTCGCACTTTGGACATCAATAAGCGGTTTTGACATGCATCAAATAAACTGTGTATCGATGGTGGCCTTTGAGACTTTATTATTTATGGGTCCTTGAGCAGGCCATTAAAGGTCGAAAATGCGCCTGATGTCGTGAGCCTTAAATGCGCTGTTATATATTTTTCCCCTCTTGCCTGTATTAATCATTTCCCCTCTTTATTTTTGAATTACTTCAAATTCAATGGAGGAAAAACAAATTCTTCTTTTCTCTCTCCTTCCTCCCATTCTTATACCCTTCTCTCCTTTTTTCTTACTCCTCTCTTTTTGGCTCCTATTCTTCTTTATTCGCTCCTCCTTCTATTTCTTCTTCCTCCTCTGCTTTTCTTTCTTCGAATATTTTACGCGTCTTCATCTGCCATATTTTAAGAGTTGCAAGACTCCAATCTGTTGGACTACGGTAACGTTATCCACCTCTGGTCACGAAAAAAGTGAAAATTTCCGCGAAATTTCGCAACGGTAAAGGCCGAAAGATCGCTCGAAAGACCCTCACCTCGTATAAATCGGGCGATTTTTTTTTTCTTTTCGCGAACGGATCGGCGACTTGTCATCGTCCATCAGGCATCGGCCTGGAATGCGCAACTCATTATTAGGCTGAATCGTGGTTTCGACCCCACCTGTAATGCCTGTGACTTATTCGGTTCCTAGCCGGACTTTTCCTGCCTCTAATTTTAGATCAATGCACTCGTCGTGTCGTCTCCCCCATTGTCATCGAGGGAAGCTTTTTCAGCGTCCGCAAACATTCCAGTCGTCAAACGCGCGCACTTGAAGAAGCTTCGGGTCCGATTTTAAAGCAGTTCCTTCCAGACTTGAATTCGACGCGAAAGAAGTGCTCGAAGATCCCGTGATCTTTATCTTAGTGATACTGCCAGGAGTAAAAGGTAACCCCTCATTGCGCTTCATTCTTTCCATTTTTTCGTGTTTTCTATCCTGCAACTATTCAGTTCTTCAGCACTTTAGAGAGCGATTCGATAGTCAATTGATCGATCGATTGATCGACTATCGAACCCTTTATGCTGTATACTTTATCTCAGTGATACTATGCAAAGTGTAAGGTAATCTCTCATTGCGGTTCATTCTTTCCATTTTTTCATGTTTTCTATCCTTCAACTATTCGGTTCTTCAGCACTTCGGAGAGCGATTCGATAGTCGATTGATCAACCTATCGATCGATAATTTCTGATATCAAAATATTTATAAAGAATTCCCAAACGTCACTTTACGCTATATAGCATGTCAGGCATTTTTAGTTAGGATTTGACTAAAAAATATTATGAATAGCCATAAAAGGACGTGCCAAGTGAATATAGCAAATTGATAGGTAAATAAATTTGCGCCATGGAAAAAAGAGGGAGGTATTCAGTCCCGAATCAAACATTTCCAATTAGTTGTGATAGTGCCCCAATTAATCAGGTTACTAACCCAAACTTTGCGATACTACCTTAACTTGAGGGGCAGCGGTTCTACCAAAATTAATTGGAATGTCAATATCGTCCAACAAATTGGGGTAGCACCACACTTTTAGGGTACAATCCCTACTTCTTTCCCCCGGGGATATTTATTCAGGACGTGCTTTTGAGGCTGTTTAAAAGTATTTCTTCAGTCTTTTGCGTATACACATACTACATCCGGCAGTGTGATATAATTTCTGAAAATCCGAAGAAACGTCTAAAATTCAAAAATAATCAATTGATTGTTCAACTATACTCGTTCTCGAAAGTGCTGAGGAGCCACCTTGAGGACACTCTCATCAACATAACGGGTTCATCGATAATCCCGAGAGAGATGGATCAATCTGGATTTTGAGTAGATAACAGTCCCTATGCCCGAACCTGCCTACCCAGAGTCTATGGACCATACCATTCTAGGACTCAACCCTTAATTATATTTAAAAAAAAAAAAAAATATTGGACATATAAAACGAAATTACATCATACAATGGTATTCGGTTCATGCAACCGTACCTCTCGAAACGAAACTGCGGGTGTAGAAATAGTTTGATAGAATAAATCTAAGAGTAGAGAGCTTTTGGTTGCATATATCGAAGATAAACTAATCTACGGATTATTTGCCGGTTGAAGTTACCTTACGCACAGATGAAGCTAGGGAAATCTACTGAGAAACATTCGATTTGAAGTTCTGTCCACTGACTGAATTTCACGCTAAATATTCAATCGAAAACGAATTTTTTTGATGCATTCTTGGCGTGGTATTTAACGACTTAGGTTAGAAATATCTAGGTTAACAGAAAAGCCACGTTCTTTAAAAAATAAGGATTTTCAACAATAATGCTGAGAGGGTGTAAGAGATACAGCAAAATTTTTTGGGAGGAAATCGTGGAGAAAGACTCACGAAAATCGTCTGGACAGAGAAGAGTGACTGATGACTTAAGTAACTGAAGAAATCAAACAAATTTGCTAGTGGCCGCAAAAACGACTTTTGAGCTAATGTTTTGAGACCGTCTACATATCTATTAGTTTTCAAAAGAACCCCTTTCGATTTCCATACGCAATTTTTCCTGTGACTGAAGTTTGTCTGCTGGAAATTTATCGTTAGATTAGAATTCTCTGTACCCAAATAACAATGTAATATCATTAGAACGTGCTTAAATCAAAGGGAACTGTCTCCATGCTGATATGGACTCTGATACTTATAAAAATATATGCATGACAGGGCTCATTTCACGATGGGGATAGATCTTTGTGATTTAAATACGTCCATTTATGGTAAGGGATTATGCAAATCAGCGCGATGTAAAAACAAGATCTTTTTTGCCGTGTTTCATCGCGACCCTGAAGTAACGGTTTAGCCATTATCGAACTACGAAACCGCTTATCTCCATTGCAGCGTTTCGAAATTTTCTTGCATGCTTCATTTTTAGGGGAAAAAAATCAACATTCCGCCTCGACATTTTCACTAGAACGGCATGACCGTGGAATGGTGGAAAAAAATCAGAAAAAATCGAAGCCGTGGTGCAGATTACTTTTACATATTTAAATAGTTGGACTTCACTTTGCAATTTATAAGAAGCACTATTTTAGGCTCGTTAATAAAGCACCTATGTGCATAGGTAGACTCGAAAAACACTTGGAAAATTTGAAACGTTGTAAATGATATGAATATTTTTAAAGAGAACTTGCACGTATATTTTTCACAATGGGCCAGTTCCGCGCTATAGTCACAGAAACGTTTTTTGATACTTGATTCTTGTAGATCAGCTAAAATAATTAGATTTGTCCAAAAAGCAACTTTCTACGTTGGATATTGGCCGAGATATCGCGGTATGAAAAATTCAGTGTCATCCACCGCGGTAGTAATACCTTTGGTTTCTTCCACCTTCCTTTCATCGGAGTTACATGTTGAGTAACCAGAGCAAGTATGTGTTTCCATGACTGATGAAAGCAAGGTGGGAGAAACCAAGGGTGTCACTTGGTTGTCGATACTTAACCGACACTCATCGATACCTGGCATCTATACTCAACGATATCGATACCATGCAGTATCGATCCTCAAACCCCAACATCGATGATATCGATACTTTATCTGATTTGGCCATGAAGAAAGCCTCTTTTTCTTTTTTCACAACTTCTCTCTCTTCTGTTTCACCCTTACTATGCACTGTGACAAGCGCGCGATGGAGTAATCAGGTTTCTCAAGATGATTTACTATTGTTAAAAAAGTTAAAAACTTGGTTCGATTACGGTAGTGAAGGGCTCATTATAGTTGACTAAGCAGGCGAATAAGGGCGGTTTCGAGAGAAGCGTAAATCTGGCGGAATTAAACGGCCGACAGACATACGTACACTCCAATTTACGGCATAATTTGGTAATAGAATCGATACCTCTATCGATACTTCAGCTCGATGCTCGATACCGGTATCGATGCTTAGAGTCGATACCAATATCGATACCGAGTATCGATACTTCCTCGAGTATCGACATCCCTGTCACTACCGCAGTAGATAACGTCATAAACCGAATGTTTCAAAGCGCGGTATCTCGGTTAATGTTGAATGTAGAAAATTGCTGTTTCGACAGATCTTCTTATTCTCAGCTAATCTACAAGAATCAAAGCATTACAGCACGTTTCTATGACCAACGCAACTGACCCATTCTGCCTTGCTACGGAAAAACTCATATGAGCCTTCAGACGTTCCACTTATCAAATACGAATTTTCACGGAGACCTCTAAATATTTTCCAAATTTGAGTCTTAGAGTGAAAATTTCATGTTTTAAGCATGTTTTCAATTTCTCTGACCCGACTTTGCTGTAAGAATAGGTACTGTGTTGGTCCAAGAAGAGGGTTCGAAAGATCACTCATAACCTAGTACCGGCATCACAAATCGCCTTGTAATGAAGCAAGAAAACCAAATAAAAAACATGCTTTCAGAAAAAATCGGCGAGATAATTAGTGGAATTTGTCACCTGAAATTCGACTGCGAGAAATTTTAACGACGTTAAAACTTTTCTCCTACGGCTGCCACGATGCTGAACCAATTAAGCCGCTATTTCAGGCCATAAAAATTCAAATTAGCCCCTGCGAAATGAGGAAGGAAAAATTCGCCAACATTCCGGCGAGGCTTCCCAGGTAGTTAGTATCTGTTGCAGCGTAACGTAAATGTTTAATTCGAAAATCGGAGACAAACACTCCTAAACGGACAGGACGTTATAAGGTCGTAAATTTGGGAGGGGCAGAGATATCTGTGAAATCGCTACTTTCAGTCATAAAGGGAGAGACTCTGTTTCTTTGTGAAGGCAGGCTGTAGGTACGGCAAGAGAAAATTGGACACTCTAATCCGCCGTGCTAGAATTCAATTATTTCTTTGAACTAAAATGGAGAAAAGTACTTTCCTCGCGGTTTTTGTCGGAGAAAAAAATCAATCCATTAAAGACTCAATGTCTTCATCTAATCTTGAGCTAAGCACTGAAATAGCTTTAAAATTATCAATTTTCTTATGGTCACCAAACTCCGTGATTTATCATTAATTGCACAATAAATTAGCGATTTTTTACTAGTTTGTCTTTTCCAGTCGTTTTAATGAAAAGGCATCGGAAGAATAAGGTTTTATCGGGAATGTACTAACTCTCTCTATGTATTAATTACAATAGCTCGCTTTTCCACATGAATTATACCTAATTCCAATTCATCCAGCACATTAAGGGCGATTTGTTGACCATTTTGTGATTAAAGCTGTGTTGCAGTCTAATGTTTGTGAAGGTCAAGGAAAATGTTTTTAAATATTTCTGACGCACTGAATCCGAACCACGACTTTCTCTCGGGTCCTGGTGGATCCATGATAAAAGCCGTGATCCTGCATATTTTTTCAACGGTCGAAAACATCCACCCTACTGTAAAAGGGCCACGGCAAACTGCCACCCGGGTGGCAGTTTTCAAGAAATTTGTATGAAAACTGCCACCCGTATAAATTTGAAAACTGCCACCGGTAGTGAAAACTGCCACCCGTGTAAATTTGACAACTGCCACCCACATGAATTTCGGCGCACAGAGGGTCGAAGCGGTATTATGGGAAGACTGATTGTGAATCTCAAGCCAGGAGAAGTAGAAATAATAAGATAATGTCTGTGCACAATCCCAATAGTGATCACCGTATAACAGTGTACGCAGACTACCTTCTACAAAATTATGTGTCAGATGAAGCTACATACCCCCCTTGGCTGTGGGCATCACGAGAAGTTGGTAACCGGACCACTAACGCTTGCGAGTCTTTTCATTCTAAATTTAAAAAATTATTTAACAGAGCTCATCCCAATATTTTCGTTTTTTTCCAAGAGCTAAGAAACTTTCAAACGGAGGTTTACATTAAAATTAACTCGTCTGAAACATTTAGAGATTTTCGGAGATCCCAGGTAATGAAAAAAA